CCTGCGGGACTAGACTAGATCCCGTAAGCGAAACTGGGTAATGCTCCCAGACTCTTGGTTTCTCCGGGCAGACTGTGAGGACACCGGCCTCAAATGATTATTGGACATACAAGGTTTCTGTGTTTTCGTTAAAAAAAAAGAGCAAAAAAAAGTGGGTTGGGCTGCTGCCTGCTTTTACCAGCAGCACTAGCACTGCAGGGGGGTTAAAAAAAAAAAAAGGAAAGGGTTGGGCTGCTACCACAGACTCGTATAGGATTAGGGTGCCTCTACCACATGGCCGAGTGCCGAAGGTGACTCTCATATGTCTGTAATCCAGCCTCTACAACAACCTGGGCTTTTATATTAAAAAGAAAAGAAAAGAAAAGAAAAGGAAAGAGCAGCCCTCTGTCGTTGCCCCTACCTTCACTTGCAGGCTGTGATCTATGGGTGGTGGTGAGCGGCACCTGCTGGAAAATGTGTCCAGCGTCCCATTAATTGGAAACAGGGCACAGTTATATATACATTTTGGCGTCATTTATTCCCCTCCTCGGAGGGGATCAACCGCCCACAGGCAACCTTCAGTCTTCCCATGTCTCAGCCTGACCAATCAATGCCAGCTAGCTTCTTCCTTCCACTCCCCTCTTATTTCTGGGATCCTTGTCTCTTCTTCTTCTTCTTCTTCTTCTTCTTCTTCTTCTTCTTCTTCTTCTTCTTCTTCTTCTTTTTCTTCTTCTGAAGAGGCCAGCACCGCTTCGTCGGCGCTTCTTCTTCCTCGTCTTTTCTTCTTCTTCTTCTTCTTCTTCTTCTTCTTCTTCTTCCCCCCCCCTACCCCCCCTCCCCTCCTAAAGCCCAGGGTGTTGTAGATACCAAGGACCAGACCCTTGTCTCTATTTGCTTGTTAAACCACCAGTACTTGGCCCAGCTATCGACGCCGAGCCTGGAATGCCCCTGCGCGCCGATTTTTGCCGAAGCGCCGGGGTACTGTTTCTATTTCTTTTTGGCTGGCACTTCCAGCCATTGTGGTCTGGTACCCCAAAGCCCTAAAAGCGCGGCGGGTTAACGGGGAAGCGCCGCGGCCGATAGCTGGGCCAAGTACTGGTGGTTTAAGGCTTGTGCTCCACAGGCAACTCTTCGGCGAAACTCTCCGAAGACATCTAAGTGCCGCACACTTTCCACAATGAATTGTGGGGCTCCACCTGCAAGCCCTTTCACAGCTATCGCAACTCCCACGGCCCATGACATGGGAGAATCAAGCACATGTTTTCAAAACGGGCCAGAATCACGGTCTGAAGCAATGCACTGTCCTTGAGGAAATCATTGTCGAAAGAGATACCCGTTTTCTCTCTCTAGTTTAGGGAACGCTCTTGTAGGCCCGGGACGTGCTCGAGACTTCTACGGAAACAGCAGGTAGGTGCACTGTACATGTGAAAACAAGAGAAACTGCAGTGGAGCCCCATTTACTTCGAGGATACCCCAGTGGAGCACAAGCCTACGTCATTCAAACTGAAAGAAAGTGGATACTATTAGGAGATCCTCACATGGCCAGCCGTGGGCAGAGGGGGGAGGGGCACGCCTGCGAGATGGGAAAGGGTACGGGCTGGGTCGAGGTTTGGTGTTGAATTTATGTAGATTGTCAATTCTTTTCTCATTTTCAGTTTGAGATCCAGATCCACTCTTTTTTCCCAAGTGGCCTCGGATCTGCTAGGGGTGCTGGTATGACCAGACCCCTCTAGCAGCCTTGTGGCCGGCTCTTGTCTATTGGTGGATGGGGACCATCACCTGCTGGAAAACGGGTCCAGCGCCCCTTACAAGAATATATATTATATACAGAAGTACATGACATACCGTCCCTTACAAGAATTTATACAGAAGCTAGGCTACCAGCTGGGCCGCCCGGGTCCAGGGTGGCCAGCCCGTGCAAGGACCAGGGAAGGTCCCAGCAAAAAACAAAACAAACAAAAAAAAAATCCAAAACATCCAAAACACAACTATGTTATGCAGAAAAATAAACTGAGCAACTTTTGCCTCAGGGTCCGCCACCTAGAGATATGTCGTTGGTCCCCCCGAGTGGCATTGAGCAGAGACTGCTGATGTTCATAGGGGGAGGGGACCGGAGGGGAGGCACAGTGACTGGCCCATCGAAGAAGCTCGAGTGGCATTGAGCAGAGACTGCTGATGTTCATAGGGGGAGGGGACCGGAGGGGAGGCACAGTGACTGGCCCATCGAAGAAGCTCGGTCCTGATGCTACCGGCTGACCCCTGGCCGGTATCGCCCACCTGCTGTAGCAGGTATCGCACCTGCTGT